CCCGGGCCTCCTCCTCGCAGCCGCGATGGGTGGCCCAGGCCCAGGCGCAGCGGCGGGCTCAGGGTCACTGCTCCCGGCCCCGCTTCCCCTCAGAGCGAGGGCCCCGGGGCGGCAGGGCCATCCTCCATGACCCGGCAAAGAGAATGCTGGGAAATCCAGTGCAGGCAGCTTCCCCTCAGGCTTCAGCATCAGCAGGGTGGGGGGAGGGAAGGAACTACAGTTCCCGGCATGCCCCGCTGCAGGGTTTGCCGCAGAGCAGGCTGGGAGTAGTAGTCTGCAGCGACTCCTTCACGCACCTTGACGAAGGAGTCAGCATCCCTGAACCCCGGTAGAACGGTATCTGGGCAGCCGCCCGGCGGCTCCTCCGTGCTGCCGCCACTCCCCGCGTCCATTAGCTGGCTCGTCTTAACGGCTGCGCTGCGACTCCCGCCTCCGCCGGCAGCCGCCATCTTCCGCGCGGTCCCACGTGACGCGTCAATGGCTTAGTCTCGCGATAACTGAACCGGAAAAAGGGTGGGGGGGAGTGTGTATGGTGGAAGTGTTGCTAGACGCATGCGCATTGAGGTGTGGGCGGCAGACTTGCAGGGTCCCTGCCTAAGAGCGGTAGCGATGCAGCCGTGTTAGTCTGGTCTAGAGCGAGCGAGGGTCCTGGAGCGCCCCTTGCGGCGTGTTCCGGGGGCGCTCAGCCACTCTCGGCCTAAGCCAAAGCCGCTGTGACCCGGGGAGTAGGGCAGGTGCCCGTCTGGCTGAGCTCCAGGAGCCCCTACTGCCGGCTGCCCCACCTGCGGCCCTCGGGCAGCGAGCCTGTCCCGTACCACGCCTCCCTCTGGGCAGCAGCTTGGCTGCACCTTGGAGGGTGTCCACGCTGCTCCCCATCGGGAGGGCTTAAGCCCTTTCTGTAAATGGACATTTCCTGCGACAACCCGGTCTAATCTTGACCAGGCTGCAGCCTGACATAAGGGCACGCGGGTGAGCTGGCTTTGAGTCCTGGAGTTTTCTGTACAGGTTAGATGCGTGGCACACACTTCAGTCTACCAGCAGATGGAGACTACACCTCAGCTTCTTACCAGTGACATTCCTCCACCAGTATACAATCTTG